AGTATACCTATATACACACAGAGAGAGAAAGAGAGATACACATATGCATACAAGTACATACACACATACACAGAGAGAGAGAGAAAGAAAGAGAAAAAGAGAGAGAGAGAAACATAGACACATCAATCATTCCTTTTTCAAGTAAGTGTTATACAAAGCGCAACAAGCGTGAATTCATAAACCAAAGAAATTAATAGGGTCATTTACTTTTCTATTCAATCCACTTTCATTCAGCAGCCAATTACTCTTAAAACTTTCTTTTCTTTTTTTATCACACAAACTTCTTAAATAATCTAGTACACTGCATTCGACCCAGTTCCCACTTCCATGTAAAAAAATAATGAGCAGAAATATGCTTTATACGTAACTATTTTTGCGTCTTTCAACAAAGATTCATTCATTGCAACAGACTGCATATTCCCCACTACTCTTTAAGGTATTAGCATTCCTTAAAATTTCACAATTTTTGCAACTTTATTAAACATTCTACCAAGATTCAAAATTTCATGTATTTGATCTTCTTTCCTTCTTTCTTCTATACTTTTTAAAATCAAACTGTGGTCTTATAATGTATCAAAGTTTTATCCATTCTCCTCTTTCCATTATACAATCTGCCTAACATTCACTGGAAACCATTCAGATTCTAATATTGCTACAGTCCTAATACATTTGTCCATAATACATTACCGAACCAAGATGATATCTATACATCCTTGTCTTACTTCCTAGTCAGTGTTGAATTATTCACTAAACTTTCCATTTATTGTCATGTAAGGTTTACCTCCCTCATACACTACTGTTATCACAGTTAACAAACAACTTTCAACTCCATATCATGCAATACATTCCATAGTTCAGACCTATTCACTTTATCATACAATTCTCTAAGTCAATTAACTTTCATTAAATGTTCTTTTTTACATCCATAATTTTCAGTGACTTGCAGAAGAGTAAAAATCTAAACTTTACCATCCAGGATAAAGCCACATTACACTTCCCAAATTTTTCTCAGCAGGGTCTCTTGTACTTCTTCCTAGGACCTAGATGCATTTTAAAAACTAACCACTGCAGTGTTCGCACTCACCCTCGTTTTTTCTGATAATGTAAAGAAATTTGTTAAAGCTAGACTACACATTCAGAGCAAGTGTTTTCTGATCTAGAGCTGGATTCAGTCTCCTAACTACTACACTCTTTGTGGTAGCCACTGATATATGTGAACTTATAAACAATGTAACACCATCTAAGACAGTGTTTCTCATCCTTCGGAATTTGAAGATGTGTGGGCTTCAACTCCCATAATTCCCCAACCAACAATTTCTGGC